CCCCCCGCGCCCCCGGCCGCAGCCGCGCACCTCTCGCCTTGATGGGGCTCTGGTTCTTTCTGCGGTGCACGTACCGCGCGGCTAGGCTGCCGTGCCAGCTGCCCCGGAGTAGTTCTGTTACAGGTTTAGATTCCGGGAACTTGCCTGTGAAAGACCAGTTCCTTCAAACTGAACTAGATTTGTCAGAACCACAATTTAAAAACTGTTTAAATATTTACAACAGAATTAACAGATATAAGTACAAAGTGCTACCGCTTCATACCCATATCACCCCTCTGCCCTGAGGTGATGTTAATGCAAGGTAGTATCTTAGAGCTACAGGTTTTTCAAAATGCTTTATTTTCAGTAGATAAAAGACATATGCATGATTTTAAAACATCCAAAAAATGGTCAGAGAAATTAAATAAACAGTTATGTTTATAGATATTATGTAGGGATTTGAGGGGTTTTGTACACATTTTAATATGATTCAGCTACCAAAACATAGTAATTGGTCCAAAAAAAAAAAAAAGACCAGCAGAAATACATAATTTTTTTTCAGCTTTGTTTGACTTCTGAAGAAACCACACAGACTTGTGCAATATCGTCATACTCGTATGTTCTCTTCAAAAACGTATCTGTAAGTCTTAAGCCAGAGACACTCTAGATAACGGAAAATATTTACATGAGTTATTAGAAAGAATTGCTAAGCTTATAAAACAGCTATTATAAGAAAATTATGCTATAAGGACTTACTTGCAATCCTTGCACTGAAGACAACAATGTGAGTGCAAGATGGAGGGATGAACTTGGGTGCAGCTTTCCAAGTTGCCTTCCCGAAACTCCACACCAGTGGATGGAATTCGTATTACACATTTCTAAAACCAGATCCATAGTCCTTTCACTGCTGGAGAAAATTGAAAACCAAGAATAAACCTGTGGGCTTTTTTAAGCATTCAAGGACTGCAGACATGTAAAAGGTTGATTACTTTATTATTCAGGTTACTATTAATCAAGCATTTATAAATAATTGTAAGGCAGGAAGCAAGATTTACAGTGATATGCAGCAATTAGGTTGCATATAGCTTTGTCTGTCAGATTAGCTAAGAAGAACTAAGATGCTTTGTGGTTTAAGTATGGGGTGCAGTCTTAAATGACACTGCAGCCAGTTCCATGGAATTCCATCTCAGATCTTTTTGAATCTCCTCGTTCAAATAGCATTAACAGGTCAGGATGGAAGGGTTTTTTCTTTGTGTTTCTAAAAATCATTGTGACATGAAAGATGTGTTTCGATTAGTTTCATGTTGCTAGAATTCATAGTAAAGACCAGGCTTGTGTTGTTCCAGGGTAAGGTACTGAAAAATGAAACAGACAGCTACAGCTTTCCCACTCAGGAAAAAGCACTAGAATCACATGACATCATTACCTGCAGTTTGTTATTTTACATGTAATGTCAAAAGGTTCTTCCAAATTTACAGTATCTGGTATTGTCTCCAAAGAGAGCCTGACATCACCATAACCAGGAGCCTGAAAAGGTACAAAAAAGTTTATTCTCAGATGCTGGATAGTAAAGCTGAAGCTTTTACTACAGTTTTCCCTTACTGCAACCAGCTTGGAATAAGAGCAATTTGAAGAAAAAAGATTGCCTCTTCATGGTTTTGATTTGTACCCAAGTCACAGCAGTGCTCCATTGACAGGTTTATTGGTTCAGACAAGGATTATCTTTATTACTAAGTTTTGAGGTAGTTCACAGTCTTGAAAGTTTGAATACCCATATGCAAGGGGTCTTGTCCCAGCTCCCGAGAACATCAGCTTTATTTCAGGACCTCTCTGATAGGCAGACAACAGATGGACAACATCAGTACAGTTTTCCTGCACACACCCACCACTACTCCACATCCTAAGAAATAAGAGATTGTCCATTCACTTTGCCATTTCAGTCCTTCAAGCCTCTGCCAAAATAATTAATTGCTACCAGCTGGAAAGGCACACAATGTGAACGCTTATCAGCTATCCAATCCTGTCAAGAGCTGAACCCTTCATATGGTCTACTAACAAACCTATGAGAAATAACCTAGTTGCTACCAACCAGGGCTGACTTTAGATGGTAACCTGCAGATAAAAAGCTTTCAATTTTCAGTCTCCACAAATTAAAGATCATAAGCGAAAAACAAGGGGGAAATTACTCCTGTCTGGCAAGGCTTAGTTGTGACACACATTTCAGTTCTGATGAGAGAAGAATGCTGTAGTAAAAGTTACATTTACAGCTTGATTAAAAGATATTCCTGAAGAGGTCCAGAAAGCCAGTGACTGACAGATTAGGAACAGGTTTTAGTCACACACTAAAGACACATGACATTGTAGAAAACTTATGAAAATTGGACATTAGAGGGAGCAGAGGAATGTCAAACTGATGGAAACTTCAGACCAGTCTAAGAATGTTATGTTTGGAACTTTTCAAGGAAGAGATGTAATTATCCAGCACTGGAGAAAGGCACACATTTTCAGCTCTATTCATTGACAGGAAGATAACAACTGGAAAAATTATAACCAGCTTCCTAACCAATGAGGAACAACATATTGCTCTAAGAGTCTGACGTTACATTAAAAAGAAAAAGCAGCAGTATTTTATAGAATAAACCCAGCAGCAATTGACCATATCAAGACAGGATCAGAGCAGATGAGAAGGCCTAAACCAATACATACATGTTTGCCTTAATGATTAGATACCTGCAAGAACTGATGGCTAGTGGTAAAGGCCTTAGACTAACACCAAAAGGAGTAACTCAAACTCTTTCAGTTTTCAACTGAAAATGAGATAATTGCTCGAAGCATGGAATCAGCTAGACAATTCCTTTCTTGTGCTACTCAAGAATAATGTTCTTTAACTTCAGACTTGTTCTGGATTGAATGCCTGTGAGCAGGTGGAGCACCTCAGCATACTGTGGACACATCTGTCTGGTTTAATGTCACCCCAAAAAAATGTAGTGAATTCCAAGACCATTCCACAAAATCAATCCATATAATGGTATGTGAGGGTGATCTGGGATACTTGTTTCACATGTGTGTTCCTGATCTGAACCAAAATGACGACAGAGGAGTACAGTACAGATAAAACTCTGGGCCTCTGAGGAAACAGTGATTACAGGACTAGGAAATGGATTAGGAGGAAAAAGACGGAAGGTGAAAGGAGCCTAGAAATGGAATAGACTGATAGCACTTAGAAGATGGGGGGGGTGTTGGACTGCAACTCAAAGGGGAATAAAAAAAACATTTAACAGTTTGCTGCTCTTCCGGAGACAGATGTTACTCAGAGCACACAAAATAGCTCATGTTTCTTTGTTAATTGCTAGCAAATTGCAAGCACAAAACTAGGATGGATGAGAGCGTTCAGGTGTGTTTCAAGTGAATTCTCAAAGGTTCAACAAGAATGAATGCAGAGTGAGGGAATATTGATTTAAGGAAGGAAAAAAAAAAAAATCTGTCTAAAGAGAAATTATAGGAGAGGCCAGTCAAAAATGAGACAGTTTATTAGTTAAAAACCAAACAATTTTCAAAATAACAGGAGTAACTAAGTTTAAGAAACAGGGCGGTTTCTAGTTTGATGGGATTATATAGACATCTAAAACCTCAATTAAATAAGAAGAGAAGTTCTAGTGACTTAGCTGTGATTTTCCAGGATCCAGGTTTCCCTGCCTAGTACCAAGTCAATGTGATTTCTCTACAGAATTGCTTGACTTATTAGAAGATGAGGGTTGGGGCAGAGAGAGGTAGAAACCAAATTAAAAGCTTTGTAAATTCAGACTTAAGTTTCAGTTGTCAAAGCTTTTTTAATTCTCTCCCATATTATACCATACTCAATTCAAAAATACATATCAGGTTTAGGCATTAGACAGGCTGAGTAGCTGACTTAAGCAAGATAGTAATTACAACTTAGCATTTATAAACAATTTCTAAATCAGCCAGAATAGGAGAGATTCAATCAAGACTGTGGACATGAAAGAGAAACAGTGTTATCCCATACATAAAAATTGTCATTTGAAGCTAAAATGGAAGTATGAATTAGGGAGCAGAAATCTGTATCGACAGCTGGCATACTTAAAGTTGAGTTCTTTTGTCAAAGCTTTTCAATATGTTGCCAAATGGCATCCAGGAAGTTAATTTTATTGTAACCAATGTATTTTGCTACATGGTTACTTGACTATGCCAATTCAAGTGCACAATCCATTAAGTTATGTAGTTCAGTGCTGTGAAATAAGAAAGAGGCATGTTATGTGCCAAAAAAACAAATCCTCAAGAAAATAAAAAAAAGGTTGCCATTCACATGACCCAAAGGAAAGAGTTTTCTTCAGCTACACTCCCTCAGAATACTTTTTTTTCCCCACGCTTCATTGACAAAATGAATTAAATAACATCCTCAAATACATACAGAAATGTGTGAATTGAGAATGAGGTCCAGAAAGTAAGCAGCTTAAACTTCTCCTTGAAGTCATTCCTAAATTGTTCATTGAGTTGCCTTAGAAATGGATGCTACGTTAAACTTACACTTAAGTTGAACTTACCATTCTTTGGAGCTGGCTAGTTTGCAGCCTTCCTCGTTCACCCAGATTAGTCTTCCACACAATGTCCAGTTTACCAATAACTGTTACACCTTTTATTACTCCAGCTTTCTCTGCAAATTCTTGCTTTGGTTTAAGGCAGTATAAGTATTGACGTGTATCCATGGGCTGTAAATAAGTCCTCGAGCCAAAAGTAGACTCACTAAAAGAAAAAAACACTGGGTTGTAACTTAAACAGTTATTCTAAGAATAGTTAAGAACCCAACCTTTTTTCCCATCCCTCACCAGTCTTACTCCCAGTGTGTATCTTATTCATTGCAAACCACATGGAATATTTTTGCGTTTTCACAACAGAAAACAATTGCAGAATTTATGTGGCATTAATAACTGAGGGGGAACAAACAAACAAAAAACCCAAAACAGATTCATCTGAGCCAGGGAGAACTGAGGTGGAAATCCAGTTTCCTACATTATAATTTATTATCTGTCACCTTAGCATTTAAACAACAGTGCTGGTAATTTTACTTCTGCTGTTTCGTTCCCTCCCAGTAAATCTCAGTGTCTTGAGCCCAAGATTCCTGTTCAGTACAAGAACGATCAGAGCAGATGCAAACACCTTGTAAGAACAATGCTCCACTACACTGCAGATTAACCCTTTGACAGACAAGGAACTTCGACCCAGACATCACAAGCTTTTTTATCCACAATAGTTTACTTAACACAGTCGACAATTCTTCTGGTATTTGGTGTTTTACTGATTGACACGAAATGACATTTAATTTATTTCAGCACAACAAATGTTTATATTCTGAGATTGATTCACCTTGACTGCTTCCTTCCTAGATCTTGATTAGAACAACTGAGAACAGTTACCAGTCTGGCAGAAGGAAGAAAGGGCAAGTCACATGGGTCCTATAAGGCTAAGTACATATACACAGATCAAGCTAGAATCAGATGTGACCTAAATTTTATAGAAGAGATACTGAAGAAGTAACAGGTTTTTGTGTTACTATGTCATCCATGTTACAAGTTATTTGAGAATTAAGCTGGGGACTTCTCTACCAGGCAGAGTGACAAAGTTTTAAGAATAGTTTCTGTAAAAAGAAAACTGCAACATATTTAGCAGCTGAATACTTAGCAGGAATTTGATCTTCTTAAACAAGCAAAGAAGTACAATCCCACTGTTACAGACAACTCATTAACTGTAATGCCTGTGTCTCATGGAATCACAATACAAAGGGTTTCTAAGTCAAGTATCCTGAACCTGAACATACCTTTCCCCCACTGTGTCAACTGCGTTCAGTTCTGCAACATTGTACATCATAGACGGCTCTAAAGAAACCTTCTCCATGAACATTGGAGAGGTAGTGATATTCTGAATCTGAGCTTCCAAAAACACTTCATCTGTCTGAAAAAAAAAGCACAAGTTCCTGAAAATGTTAATGAGTGTCACTAAAAAGAGTAGGCAGTCCTATTGTTAAAAAAAAGTCACATGTGTTTAGTTCATGCCTGCAAATTAAATTAATTAATGCAAGAAAAAACCTTAATCCCAGTAAGAATAGGAGCAAAAGTGTTAGTCAACAGATATCTTGCCAAACAATGGATGTGGGATAATTTTTCTATGTTCTAGCTACTGCTTATTTGTAATGCATCAGATCACCATTTCCCAAGACTTTTATCAACTCAAAAGCAACTCAAGTTTTAATCCAAATTATTAAACAAGAAAAAAAAATAGAATAAATGGTAAGGAATTGCTGTGCACAACAACATGCCATGCCAAGACTAGTGCATCAAGCTGTGTGAAAAAAAAAAAAAAAAGTGTTTGTTTTTCTTTAACTGAAGTAAAATAGTTTAGGTACATGCTCTGAGATTTTATTATTATCGCTACACATTTATGCACTGGCTAAAAAGCAAAAACCAGCCTCCTCTCTCACTAAGCTGCATCATGCCAATGGTTACCAATATTATATGCGTTCAACAACACAACGAGCATTCTGCCTTCAAAACGTTCCAAAACACTTGTCTGCTAACTGAAGCTAACGGCTGAAGATGGTACACAAGGACCACCTCCAGCACGGGCACCAAAGCTACGGACAGCTAAACTCCAGAAGCTGAAAAAACATAGAACTAGAAGTGGTTTTGCCTCATTGCTTCTGCGGAATTTCAGACCAGTGAAGTCACTCTGCAGATTTAAAATCTCAGTATAGAATAATTACAGAAAGGTCAGTCTACTAGAGATATGAGTGCCTGGAGAAGTGAAAAACAAAACCAAAGAAGTGCCAGCTGGGGGTGAGGAAGGCAAAGGGGATACCAAATCTGCATACACAAGAGAGCTTTTGATTTAGGCAGTTGGATTAGATGATCATTGTAGGTCCCTTCCAACTGAAATGTTCTATTCTATCAATTCTTAGGTATTTTGTTACAATAAATAATTTTTTTGAAGTATTTTTATGGGGGAGGTGGAAGAAAGCTTACAGTTTCTTTTTATACAGTGTAAATAAATGACTTCATCATACAAGTAGAGACATGCTTGTATACTACAAAATAAAAGTGGGACACATATTCAAAATATCTTCAGTCTCAAAAGGTATTGTGTTAGACAAATACAGAATGGTACTGCCCACTATTTTTTGTGCCTTATAAATATGCTAAACAAACCAGACGACAGCAGTGATGTAGCAGTGAAAACTGCAAGCTCCATGGGTTACCCCACACTTGCAGAAGGAGCTGGAAATAACCCTAACTAAAAACATGGCTCTCAATAATCATTACTACTACTACCTGACTGTCACCTGAACTGATTCTGTTTATATCCCATAAATCCATTGTGCAAAGTGCCCATTTACCCAAATTTTAGTTGTTTAAAATGCAGCAACCATAGGCAGAAATTTAGAAAAACGTTATTTGAAAGGGAAAAGAAAAAACAAGCAGCATAATGAAAAAGCAAGTTAGCTTTGTGTTATTCCTAGGTTGGCTAAGTATCACGTGATTATTTAAAAATATAAAATCCTGAAGTACTTCCAGAAGAATGCAATTTGTTTTAATACAAGGCACACCTTAAAGTGAAATCAGACTGCAGAAGTATCATACTGACTCATCGACTGTTACATGCAGTTAAAAGTTGGCAAGTGCAGTTCCAGCTAGCAAAAGGAAGGAAGAACATCCAACTGCTGCTCTCTCCTCAAACCCACTGTCTCCACCAACCAGACGTGAGAAGTTCTGTCACAGCTTGCACAAGCAGCTCTGTAATAAAGCCTACATTTCTATAGGTCAAAGCAGGAAAATTTTAGAAGGGATTAACTCCTTTTTTCAAATACTTAATCTAGTCAAATTTTGGTGAGATATTTTATAGGAGGATCCCCACAAGCAAGAGTCTGCAATAATCACTTTCAGTTTCAACAATGGGTATTAAAGAAAGAGCTAACCATCAAATGATTAGCTGCACATAGAAAGATGAGAAACATCAGTTCATGATATGCAGAACAAACATTGCTTTTCCATTATGTTTTTAAAATAATGTCAACAACAAGCACAGAGACAGATAGGCAATTAAAAAAGCATACATATTTATAAAAAAATAAATAAAAATTACCACAGAACTGAGGTCACTCTAATGGGAAAATAAAAAAAGAACACATTAGAGAAATTAGGGTTAAATGTTAAAGAAAAAGGAGGCTAACTTTCAAATAAAATGCATTTCTGCATTTTTTTGCACCATCTAAACAAGATAGCATTAGTAAGACAGAAACATAAATAAAAATGGATGCAAACAAAGATGACAACTACATTTCTAATAAGTTACAGCTAGTATGGTTACACTAGGTTTGCTTCAGAACAACTCCAAAGTAGAGCCTAAGGCACACAAGTCACAGATAAGATATGGTAGAACTGGTCCCCCCCAAAAAAAAGTTAGTTTTTGAGTAAATTTAAAATTTGCCCTGAATTTAAATCCATGCAATGTGTTGTATATGAAATGGAAAAACAGTCCTTGTCATTTTACAGATAATTTGAAGCATCTGCATACATAGTGTCTCAAAATAACAATAATGTGGTAAAGTATTGTAGCAAAGCTACAATACAGCAGCTTGTGACAAAATCTGGCAAAACTTAATCAGGAAAAACTCTTTTTTGAATATCCATCATTCCAGGAACCCAACGTTAATTGCAAACTTTGTTTCCTTAAGAGTCTGCGTATTTGTCTCCCTGTGCACACCTGCAGGAACGGAACCTTTTACAGAGCATTGTCCAAGGCACACCAAAGTCAGTGGGAGACTTTCTATAGCCTGGGGCAGGTAATTCAGTCTCGGGACTGCAGCAGGTTAGGGCGACAGGGCATGTGTTCTATGCATGAATTTCAGTGATCAACTTGATTTGGATGCTACTGCAATATGAGCAACAAGCAAGAAAATTAAGGTTCAGCGTCATTCCTTGTAGAAAAAAAAAGAAGTTATTAATTATAATTTCTAGTAAAAAATAATTTTAGTGGCAGAATTTATGAACAGATAGCATCACAGCTGTAATATTAATAGTAACAGTTGAACTGGTTAGTCAACCTTTAAAAGATCTTTAGTTAACAGACACATACAATTTTTTTTTCCTCCCCTGCTCCCAAGGATAACAGTCTTTCATAATATTCAGGATGAAAGTCCTGGTGCTTTGACAACAATATAGCATCACATACAACATATAATCAAAGACTTATTTCTAGGATTTTAAATTTTGACTTCTGTGGTCATAACACAGAGCAGCACTTTATATGCTTTCAGAAATTAAATCTGAATGGTACTGTATCAGTTCAGTAGAGAAATGAAAGTTGCTTAGTTATTAACATCCAAATTATTTCAAAAAGTATTTTTCAATTATACGGATCCTGTGGTAACAGCAGTTACATACATTTCTGTTCAGAAAGAACAAAAGGCACTAAAGCAACCTTTTATAAAACCTTTATGGGGTGCTGGGAGGAGAAGCCCAAACAAACAAACAAGCAAAAAAAAAAACCAAACTCAAATACCAGCTCAGACGCCAAAGCTTCTCATAGATCTTTATCATGAGAAATTGGTGGCTAATTGAGGAATGGAATTTAAGTCTCCTATCAAGGCCAGTCAGTAAAACAATTCTGTTAGAAAAGAATCTTTTTGACCTGTGCCACAAGTTCACTGAAAATTTATCTTAAAGAGCTTTTTATTTCCATTCATTATTAAGTGTTCCAGCATAAAGCACAATTAACACATGAAGTAGAGAGAGACAGCAACATTTACTTTATCTGTCCCTCTTTCTCCTACCACATATTTTATCTCTGAAACAGTAATATAATCCACACACAAAATGGAGCTTTATTTTGTTCACATAGGAATTACCTAGTTTCTTTGGATTATATTTGTTCTTGCAGCACAGCAGGAGATGTTTCCAGACATTCCCGTTTACAGATAACACCAGTTCTATTAAAGCACTCAACCAGTGTTATGTGCTTAGGCCCTGACGCTACCTGAGTATCTCACACCTGTCAACCTAAGCATTGAAGCCTCTGGCCTAGATGTATGTACCAAGGTATTTTTAGGCAAATGTTTTTCTCTTTTCCTCTCTACTACGGTATTTAAATAATTTACGACCTATGCCTTGATTTATCCTCCCTCTAAATAAATTACATCCTATAAGGTCTCATAATTTACATGCTATTCATTCACAGTGGAGAGAAAATCTTGACATCTTGCATCTGGAATCCACATTTGTAGAGCAGAAATTCCTATCTGAAATTTCTCCTTTGTTTTCTCTATTGATACTGTCAGGAAGGGAAAGAAATATCCCTGTTATACCTCTATAGCCATAATCTTGCATGATCAACCCCAGGTATGACTATGACAGAAAGAATCCAGAACAATAGTTCTGGAGGCTTTCTGCTTTTCTAAATCCAAGCTCATAGCACATATATGTGCTTAATTAAGAACAAACAGAACAGCAAAATATTTTCCACCTAGCTTAAGACAAGTTATTTTAAAAATTATCAAAATTCCATATATTTTCTTCTCCTCTCACTGACACTTTGGTCTTTTTTCTTCTATTATTCACTGGAACATAAACCACCTAAAACTTCATTTTAAACTGTATTAAGATGCTCTTTGAATTTAATCTAACAATCTAATGTGAAGTAATAAACCCAGCACACCAAAGCAAGCCCAAATACACACAGCTCTCACTTACCTCAGCATTGTAGAATTTGGTTTTCACATCTAGTGGCTTAAGGACCTGAATGAAAAGGGAAAAAAAAAAAAAAACAAAAAACAACAGATTCACAACTGGTTTCAGCATAAACTATAGATAATATTTTTAGTAAAGTATTTTATTTCTTATCTTGCACAGAACATATGCACTTCTTCTAATTTGCACACTTGACTGCCTTGCTACTAAGCTGTTTTCTCAGACTGAAACCAAATACTTCTCCACGTGAGCACTGGCCTCTTACAAAACCAGACAAATTCAGTGCACTAAACCCATCTATGGTTTTAAAATAGTGTTACATCCATCTCGTATCCTGAAGTGGTCTGCATTTGCTTTCAAGAAAGACCAAGAACCATGTAATATCTGCACATCCTTCAGTGTTCTACAGCAAAAGTTGCTGAGGGTTTCTCTAAAAATAAATGAAATAGAGAACTATTCATGTGATGATTAGCTTAAGCAACAAAGCATTATCTAGGCTTTGCTTCCTTCTTGAAAATGCAACTGTTGCAAGAAATAAAAAAGCAAACAAATCATTTTAATGACATGACATTAAATCAGCAAGAGAAAGCTATTTGATGATATAAAATGTGATAAGTATTGGTTCTTAAGTGCTTGAATTTTGTGCATAAACCCTCTAGTTAACACATTCAAATATGAAATGGATATACACTGATGTAACCAAAGGAAATAACCTTCTAATATACTTGTAAGGAAACAAATTTAAATTATCTTGCTGAAGATATTTATTTCTCTTTACACAAGGAAGCTTTCTTTTATCCTGAGAGACCCATAAAGCTCCAAGTTGTGACCATGAAGAATTCAAGATTAAAAAAGTAGTCCTCAGAGATTATTGCATTGTAACAGGCATAATGTTCAAATCTTTCAAGTAATCTTAACTGTCTCTCTCTATTTAGAAAAAAGGTAAAAATTTTAATTCAAGTGTTTGTTGGTTGTTTTTTTTCTATGAAATACTTTGCTTCAGTGATCTTATTAATTTCACTAAATTCTTGTTTGTTCTCAGATTTTCTAGCTGGTGCCTCCATGTCAAATTAAAAAAATAACAATCAAAATTGCTCAGAGAAGCATTATGACTCATAATGAATTGAATACTCATAGAATGGTGTTGAAGTATATATATTAGTGACACGGTTTAGCAGAAGACTTGGCAGTACTGCACTAATGGTGATAATCTTAAAGATCTTTCCAACCTAAGCTATTTGATGATTCTGAGTACTTTTCGAGAAGCTCTTATGCTTCCTTCTTTGAAAGGAGAGATTCAAATCTGAATAGCTTGCCTTAGCTGCCAGGCTAAAGCTGCCTGTGTCAGATTCAGTTAAAAAACACAGAAATTACAATATGCACGTAGACCTCTGAAAAGCATCCAGAAATAAGTTTCCATATCAAGTAAAGGAGGCAAATTGACATCTTGAACAAGGCTCTAGCAAGGACAAGTTAAGGAAGGGAGAGCAGATGAAAACCAGATCCCTGCATAGACATACATTATTGATCAGAGAAAGCCTATAGGGAAGAGCAGGAGAGAATACTGAACTCCTCGGTGAAAAAGAGTGGAGAAATTGCAAGGGAAACAGTTTCACAAGGAGAGCACGACATCACACACAAGAATGAAGATCATCTTCAGTAAAGATGAAGAAATAGGGCAGAACTTGGCGTTCGGAGAAGAGTGTAGCGTGAAAATTTATATGCAAAGATTTTCCTTAGGATTGCCTGGAAAACACCTGTGACTAATCAATACCTGCCCTTTCAAGGCGCCCAAGTACAAACAGAAACAGCACTTGGGTGCTCCTTGCATGGCATAGCAATTCAGCCTTCTAAAGACCGGAGTGCTTTTTTTCTGAAGCATATAGGTAGAATACTAGAAAAGAGCAAAATGAAATCACCTGCAACTTGTGAAATATTTGGGTCTCTATTACATAATGTGCCTGTATTAACAGATGTAATGGATAACCTGTAGTTTGTTAATCAAACTTTGATTGTTTATTTGTTTTCTTTTAATTGTTTTTCTTGCTTGCTTTGAAACTCATTTTTCCTGCTTAAAGATTAACCAATAGAACTTGCTGTAAGAGCAGTCTGTTCGAAATCGCATGCTTGCTTGCTTTGAACATACAGCTATTCTGTGTTGTAAACAATGAAAATAGGGGGAAGAATTGGGGTTAGGTTGGGTAATCATGTGTGTAATGAAACAATCACCAAGAATGATACAACCCCCTCCTTCAAGACCACTGGAAGGCAGAAAGGACCCCCTAGCAACAGCTGGCGCAGCCGCAGAAGGAAGAAAGAGATACGTTACACCGGAAGAAGAAGAGCATATAATGAGAGACTTGGGGGGGTTGTTGCGCGCCGTTGGTGGAGTGAGGAAACTCCCCGGCCGCACAGCGCTGTTTTACTTATTGCTGCTTGCTTAATAAAATTACTAAATTAATATTGGCGTGGTCTCACTAATAAAATATAACAACAGATGCTCTGTGAGAGCATCTAAAAATGTAATCAGTAAAGTATTTTGCCTCATCCTCCACCCTATGGGAAAGAGACCACAATTATCCAAGTCTCAGCATATTTCTCTAAAAAATAAACATCCATTAAATACCCAGCTAAATCAGACCCTTTCCTGCCAGTAATTTCCTGCCTTCCTCAGTTACTCTAATTAATCTCAAGTCTTGAAATTTGTGCAGTGAAACAAAAGTTTTCAACGCTATCAATTACTTCTGTGGATATTTGTCAGATATAACACATTAGACTTCTTTTGCAGTTTCCTTTAAAAAACAAATTACTAAGTTCCAATTTGAAAAAGTTTACACATACTAAAAATACATTTTTTGCAATCTAAACTCAACCGTTAGATGGGTCAAAGTCAGAATGAACAATACTTGTTTTGTTTAAAAATAATCTTAAATCTGCCTGCTACAAAAAGGTTTTTTTAAAAGAGTAGATTTTTTCTCAGTAAATGAATAAAAAATGGTAAGATATTACTTCTGAAACACTTAACCACATAGTAATTAGAAGCCATCAGTTCATGTCAAGTTTTAAGTGATTTTTTTTTTTTTATCAGTGTCATGGTTACAGGGGCTGGGACCAGTTTATCCTTATGTGGGTAGAACCCAAACCTTGGTCT